CAGTATATTGGATCTGTGCTTTCATTCTTAAAGTGAAAGTAGACTAACAAAACTAATGTCAAAAAAAAAAAACTTTCACTGATTTTGACTGAACTACTCTTATTATAAGGATTCATCTATATTTAATCTATACAGTGAAGAATATGCAGTGTTATTTTACATTTGATTATTACGGAGTACCTCGTTTGTGGTGTTTCCTAATGAGGATTTACATTATTTTACACACTGCACATTTTAGCACAGAAGCCTGAAAGACTGTCTTGACTGTTGTCATATCTTAAGATTAGTGATCTTGTGTGTGACTTAATTTTTTCCCCCAATTAATTTCTTATTTTAAAAAAAGTGTAGGCCAATTTTTTTGTTGTGAATGTCCCAATTGAGGAACAAGATGTGAAAATTTAAGATAAATGTTCATGTTATAGGTTTTGGTTGTATTTGTGAGTTAATAATGTAGATGGTTGTTTAAAATTAGTTATATAATATAATCATATCGATATATCGATCAATATTGTCCTGTATCGAAATCTTAGTGTAGAATTTTGAAGTATCTGCAAATATTGTATCGTTGGGTATAAGAATCGATATCGTGACGAACCATCCGATTTACACCCCTATTAGTTAATAGGCTACATTAACTAACTAATAGATTCTTATTGTAAAGTGTTACCTTATTATTAAATATCAATATATTATTTTTATTCAGTTCCGTGCAACAGAATCAGATGTGCAGTGATGAGGAGAGTGAAACCTGCACGCTGAACACTGATGGGCGGTGCGGCACATATGATATATGATATGATATGATATGATGATATTTTTGGGCCGGTTTTCTTTTTGGGCCGAAAATGCCATATTTTTTTTTTTTGCCGATAATTTTCGCCGGCTGAATATTCAGTGCATCCCTATATATCAGTCTGGTGAGTAAACTAAATTTACTAGCCAATGGTGATTCAATTGCCAAGGTGTCCGTAGAGGGTTGCTATTGAACAACTGTAGCTCTATTTTCATTCCTGTCCAAAATGAACAATAATGGTTATTGCAGACCAGTTAGATATAGAGTGCAACAGTCAGGTTCCGGAAGTAAAAATGGCATTCATTTTCTCCTTAAGGAAAAGGTTTTTTTTTTTTTTTTTAAAGACAGGCCTGTTGTGAGCTCCGTGGTTGTAATAGTGTGTACTAGGGCTGGGTGATATGGCCAAAAAAATTATCATGTTAATTTTTCATATCAGTAATATGAAAATTATCCTGATAAATGTTAAATCTTTATTTTGTTCAAGTTTAAAGACAGATTTTTGCTCTCAGAATTGGTTTTAAGCTATTCTTTATGGTCAGAACATGACAAATGCTTAGTTTTTTTTTTTTTACTTGTCATTTTTTCTTAAAATAAATTTTAGAAAACAAATATTTCTTAGTTTCTGCATGTTCTAATGAGTGATAATGCTTCAAATCATGAAACAGGTTTGTGTTGCATGACTTTGACATGTATCTTCAGCCCAGTTTGCAGTGCAGGCTGCAATATTAATATGTGACCTGTGCTTTTCAAAATTTTCAAAAGTTAGTTATTTTCTATATTCATTAAAGGACCTTAAAAATGATGTATGATTTGTTGAAATCAGACAAAAAAATGACTGAGCTACATCCGTTTAAAACCCGGCTCTCACTGTACGATTTTGGCCACGATTTGGTCGTCTGAGACACATTTTGAAAATCCTAGAAGATTCCTATAATCCTAGGCTAAAATCTGTAGTCTTTGATCGTTAGTTTGACATGTTCACTGACAGCCGATTAATGGCCGTTGTTTTATCTTTATTAAAAAGAACACATGCAAAAAACAGTAGAACAAATATCAGCAAGAAACAAATAGTGCATTACTTTTCTCATTTTACATCTTAAAGCATTCAAGAAAGTAAAACAAATAATCAAATGTAAAAATCACTTCAATGTGTTCATTACAAATAAATTGATTATTAAAACTACAAAAGCTGTTCAGTCAAGAGCAGCGAGTGATTCCTTTTCTTTTATTGTATTAACATTGAGACAGACGGCCTATATATTAAGACCTACTGTACTACACAGGTCTAATATAATGTTACACATCAGAAGTGTTTCCCCAGCAGTTCCCTAAATGTTCACTTAAGAAATAAGATTGTTTGCGTGACTAGCCTGCTTAAATACTGGAATTCTGTGTAGACCGTATGTGTATTTATCAGGATTGCACGCTGGTGGAAGCACCTTTGTGTGCTATTCATATGTCAGTCATATGAGAAGTGAGCAGAGAAAAGTTACTCCTCAGAAAACGTACAAATAAAGATAATTTTAGATGTTTAATTGCTGTTTGGAGCATTGGAATAGCTAGACGGGGACTTAATGAACACATTTTTATGAAAACCCGAAATTCGACAAAAATGACTTTCTTTTTTCTCAAAATTAGCCTGTGTGCATTCCGACTCATTTTGCCAGCACAGGTCACATATTACTTTTTGTGTGTGTGCGTGTGTCTCTTAGAAATACACATTTGACAGTAGCTTGAGCTGACAGTAGTTGTAGCTTAAGTTTTATCATCAAAACAGTAACATCTATAAAAACTGTAACGACTTCATTTTTATATGGTGAAATGTAATCATTCTGACCTTTTTAGGTTTATTAAAATTAACCATTGTTCTTCCAATTTAGCATACTTTTAGATCATGATACCCACAGTTAAAAACACAATGCCATCTTAAAAATGTAACTATATGGTTTCTAGGTATTTGTATGAAAAACAGTAGTCTAAATACATTTAGTATAAATGCAGAAACACTAGCTTAATCACAAAAAATGCTGTATATTCCATTATTCCTTTAATATATTTAATACATGTCTATATTAATAATATAATTAAATTCTATATGAATATCCCACATTTCTGCCACAATACAATGGTAAAGTTAGTGTTACTACAGTAAATCCATAGTAAATGATGGCAATTTGTAGATTGAAAAGCCTCCTGCTTGTCAGCGCCATTTCATCTAGCTTTAAACTAGTTTAAATCACTGGATCATTTGATTTTTCGCTGAATTCAAGCACTTCACTATGGATCTCACAGCACTGTTCAGTGCTAGCGTGACCGAGACTCATCAGCGAGTAAGGCCACATGTCCACCAAAGTGTTTTTTCCTGAGGCTAGCTAGCGTATTTTTTCAGTTGTTCTAAATGGGTTTTTAAAACAGCAGGAGCGTGCTGAGCGTCTTTTTCGCTCCGAGCACTTGGGTGTTATTTCTCTGCGCCGAGTTGAAGAATGTTCAACTTCAGGTAAAACGCAGCACTCATCACTCACTTTTCAGTCAGCTAACCAATCACAGTGGAGGAGGGGCGGGACTAATACAGACCAACCATCACACCCTTCTTGTACTACGGCTGAACAACAATGGAGAAGTTAAATATTGCTTGTCTCGGAGTATTTATGTCTTTACTAGATTGAATTACCGGACTACCATAATATTATGAAAAATAATGCTTGGAGAAACATTTCATTCGTATGCATCTTCCATATACTTCAGCGGATATTTCATATCTTTCATATATTTTATATTTTGTATACTCAACAACTTCAGTAGTTTTATACTTCATTATCAGATTTAATTTGATTGGCATTAGCGATGTTTCTTAGAATTGTAGAATTGTTGTTCTTTTCAAGTCGTTAAGTATACTGTCTTTTACCTTGTGGTGTTTTGTCTGATTTTGGAATACTTTTTTGCCTCAAATAAAGGTTTGAATCGAATGAATGAGGCATTTATATAGTGCTTTGTGTATTGCTGTACACCCAAAGCGCTATACAATCATATGGGGGATCTCTCCTTAACCACTAATAGTGTGCAGCATCCACCTGGATGTGATGGCAGCCAAAGAACAATGGCGCCAGTGCGCTCACCCCACACTAGCTACAGGTGGAGAGGAGAGAGATAGAGACAGTTCAGTAGATGGTGACTATTAGGAGGCCGTGATTGACGGGCCAGTGGAGGGAATTTGGCCAGAACACGGGGGTTCAACCCCTACTCTTTACGAGAAGTGCCATGGGATTTTTTTTAATGGCCACAGAGAGTCAGGTCCTCGGTTTAACGTCTCATCTGAAAGACGGTGCTTTTTTCACCGGGATTAAAGTTCCGTCGCTACGACGGATTTCCGTCAGTTCATAAAGACAGTCACTTGCTTCATTCCTGAATGATTCAGCCGTTCGAATGAATGATTCAGTGATGAAATCAGTGACTTGCCGCCACCTGCTGGCGGATTTAGTTTAATTTTTAGCGTATAATTGCCGTTATTTGAATCATATTTCTGTATTCAATTTTATATTTAAAACATTAATCTCCACATGAATTTATGAATTTAATTGCACTCATGCTACCTCTGAGCCTCATTAAACGTCTGAAAATGTACCTACAAGCCACTTTTGTGTTCTTCTGTGCCACCTCTGTAGTACGAATTAATTTATTAATACTAATTTCATATGATTGGTTGAACTGACGGAAATCCGTCGTAGCGACTGAACTTTAATCCCTGTTTTTACAGTATAGTGTCCCCCTGTCACTATACTGGGGTGTTAGGAGCCACATAGACCACAGGGTGAGCACCTGCTGGTCTCACTAACACTTCTTCCAGCAGCAACCTATTTTTCCCAGGTGGTTTCCCATCCAGGTACCGACCAGGCTCAACCCTGCTTGGCTTCAGTGTGGAAACAGTCTTGGGCTGCAGGGTGATATGGCTGTGGCAATGATTAACCTTGTAATGTTGTGATTCACCTTATAGCTGTTTGGCCTGATTCATGGCTTTTAATGCTGTAAATATTTTTTTTATTTTTTATTTTTTTAAATCCCTATGGGAAAAATGAATGGGGAAAAATACTTCCAGAACCATTGCTGCTTAAAAAGTGGGCGTGATATATCGAATGTGATAGTGCATTCTGTTTATCAACATTTTTTTTAAATGTTTTAAATGAAATTAATTTTCAAATCATATTTGCAGAGCCTGAATGGGCAGATTCACAAAAGCAGTGCAGATGCATCAGAAGGAATCATGGGCCATCAATGCTGCTGAGGATCTACTTCAAAGACTGCTATGCTTCAAATTGGGTAAGATTTTTTTAGCAGTACCATAAATGCCATGTTACTAATATTCACGAGTTGTCACCTTGACAGACTGGTTAATTCTTTCTTTGCTTTGCTCATTTCCATACTAGACATTTTAATTAAATTATATTCATCAATCCCATTCCGTTTCTGCATGTAATTTTAGGGTGTTTTCACATGTAGTTCGTTTTAAACCAACCCCAGTTCGCTTAAAATGAACCAGAACGGGAACTAGCCAAAAGTGACCTCAGTCCTTTTGGTGTTCACAATATTGTTGACTCAAAAGAGAACCTAGTTCTTTTCTTAGCCCTCTTCAGCACTTAATTGATCTCAGACCCTTTCTTGTTCATACCACAACTTCATAAGAACCCAGACTCCAGCTTTCTGTGCAGCAGTGAAATGCTGGAGTCTGATCTGGAAAAGGGGGTGAGGAAGAGCACACACATCACTCGCAGAGACACAGATCGGAGATAGTGCTGCTCACACACACGGAAATATTCACGAGCATGGACACTTGTTGTCAATGCTACAGAGCAAGTTTTATTAATATAGTAGATTTGATACTGAATCGCTAGATTTCTCAGCAACTAGGGGGTAAAATTTGATGTTTAAACGAAACTTAATAACGAAACTTAACTTTTGCAGAATGAGATGCACAGACACAATTCACACACTCAACTTTCATCTCTCTCTCTCTCTCTCTCTCTATAATTCAAATCAATAATATAATTCATGCATTCAAATACATGTGATCTCACCGCACTACGTCTCTGTGTCTGATTTAAAGTGGGCAGAATGCTAGATCTCCGCTGCGCGTCGGCTGGTTCTTTGCCTTCACGACGAAAATACTTAATGTATGCATTAAATAATTTAATGCGCAGTTAGCCGAAGATTACATAAATTACAAAATAATCATTTTATTAATAATAATAATAATAATAATAATTAAAAAAAATATATAGCCTATATAAAACGAGGGCTCAAACGAACTAGGTGTGAAAACACCCTTAGTCTTGATATAGGTAATATTATCATTAAAACTGACAAACTCCTGAAGGGTTTAACCTGTCTGTTCCTTACCTTAAGAACTGATAGATGTAAAAAATGGTATGTTATCCATATAGTACTGCTGACCATTTAGGCCTCTTTATTTTAAATCTTTTAAATCTCATAGCAACCAGGGGCCTCATGTATAAACGTTGCGTATGCACAATATGGGCATAGAAATGTGTGTACGCTGTTTTCCATGCACGTATCTGGATTTATTTAAAAAAATGATTTGAATTAAAGGGGTCATAGGATGCTACATGCATTTTTACAAGTTGTTTGAACTGAAATGTTTGTTGGCAGTGTGTGTACACAACCACCCTATAATGATAAAAATCCACCGTGTTTTTTTTAAAATTCTCGTTAAATGTTTTCCCCTTTCTCAAATCGAGCCGATCTCGGATGCCTGTCTCTGAGTGACTGTCATCAGTCCGCCATTGTTTCTCCTCCGGTGCAGATGTAGACAAGAATGACTCCTGAGCGATTGAGGTGTTTTGTTGTTGATGTAATAAAACATAGCAGTCGTCATTTACTCCCGACATCTGAGCCGCTGAACTCGCAGTGGATTACATTGTTTCTGATGGGAATGCTCCCCCGATCTGCCTAAATGAGTCTGTTCGTGCAAATCATTCATGATCCAGTCTCATCTACAGAAGAAGTGAGTATAATGTTTTGTAATGAATCTTTGCAAATCGCTTTCCTAATAATGTGCTAATTAGCAAGTTTCACGATGAATGCGGCTGAAGTAAACGGTCTCTCTGAGAGCAGCTCGGAAGAGAGGGGCGGGGTCAGCAGAGCTTATTAACATTTAAAGGGAAATGCTACAAAAACGGCTTGAGTTGAAAAGAGCGGTTTTTGACAAGATAAAAAAAAAGGTGTTTTTACACTACCATTGAGAAATTTTAACCAAACTATGTTAGACTTTTCATTAAGACCCTAAAGAATCATATCAACTTGTGGAAAAATGGGCATCATATGACCCCTTTAAGACATATTTGTAGTGGATGCGCTATGGAAACATAGCATGCTTTAATGACAGCGGGGAGTGCTATAATTCATATTTAAACTAAACTGCAGATCTCATCTTATGAGAGAATTTTTTTCGCAAGAACAATGATGCGCACTTACTTCGATATTATGGCAGATACAGCTGGATTCGGTGGTCGAACAGTCCATTGTCCAGTTTGAATAGGTCTAATGATAATAGCTTACTCTACAACCGCAGCAGCACAGAGGTGTACGTCATGTGAAGGCACATTTCCGTACATTTCTGCCATATGTACATTAACTGACAGTCACCACTGATAAGCTACCACTAAATATTGTAGAAACTTAATTTGCTGTAAAGTTGCCTTGCAATGATTTGTGTCGTGAAAAGCGCTATACAAATAAACTTGAATTGAATTTAATTGAATCTCCACAACATTATGAAAAATACCACTGTATTAGAAGGATACAACTTGGAAAAATAAATTTAATATTATGAAATATTATATAATGCATAAATTTAATTTGATTTGAATTGTTTAAAACAAATGAAATACTATTTGGCCAATGGAAAATGTGTTTGTGTGTGTGTATATTAGGGCTGGTAATTTAACGCATTAATTAGATTAATTACTGTGAAAAATAATGCGTTAAAATTAACGCACTTGCCCCGCCCCAGACCAATGTGGGTCATCTGACATTTCATACAGTTGATCGATGACAAATAATGGGCAGGGCAACAACTCACTGCGTGATGGAACCTAGTATAGGGCTGTGTTCGATACAACGATGTATCGTCACAAAGATTTGAGCATACGAATATCATTACAGCTGTCTCTGTATCGGTATCTCGGCACGTGCGCAGCAGTGGTCCACACTTAATTTGAATACAAGAGCACAGTTTAAAAAGGAGTAGCAGTGTTGGGCAAGTTACTTCCAAAATGTAATACATTATATATTAGTTACGGTCTTTTGAAAGTAATTAGTTGCGTTTACAATATTACTGTCTCTGAATTGTAATGCGTTACACTACTTTTGAGTTACTTTCACCAAAATATCCACAGAAGTATTAGTAATAAAATGCCAAAATGTAGTTTATTGCTGGCTGCTCATTCTACGTCCAGTGGAGGGTCTATAGCATAAAATTATAAAATCATATTTAGATACCGGTATGTAGGTCTACATTAATGTTACGTTGTAGTTTAGGTTAAACGCATATCTAAGCACAAACCGCATTATTACATTCATAAATAACACCGGTAAATAAAGCGAAATGTTACAATGTACAAACAATAAACACAATATCTAGCCTATAGACTATTTTGAACGTTTCAGAAGAAAAGAATGAAAAATATAAGTTGCTTAAACAAGCCAAAATTAGGCTAATTCAATGCGAAACTGAAAGCAAACGGCGTTCTCGCGCAGTCTACCTCATTAAGCATTAATCCAATTAAATGTGTCCATATTTGCGATGACTATTATTATGCTAAACTATTATTTATTATGTAAACCAGGCTTACTTAATGCGCTTAAAAAAACATCCTCGTCACATGAGCAAATGTGTGTTTGGCCCGAGCTCAGGCTGAACGGCACGGATTTTACTATGCAGTACGCACTATTTAAATTAACCAGTGTATCTATATGTTTGGTTTATTGCATTTTATTCTGATAATGAACAGGCTGCAACGTTTGCAATGCTGTATGTGTGTGCATGAGGCGCTGGCGCAGTCGAATAGCGGAAACAAACACAAATACTCCGTCATTTTTGGTCATACAGATCATTCGAAACTGCAATGCGTTTACTTTTATTTCTGTCATCACGGTTTCCTTTCCGTGGACTTTCGTAGAGTGCCGTGCCAAACAAATGGCCAGTGAACCAAACTCGGCAGCATATCTCTGCCTTTTCCTTTCGTTTTGTTAATCTGTTAATTAAGCTATTTAAGTCAAATATTTCACATATTCATTAATTTTATATATAGACTATGATTTAATAAAAACAGATTTTGTTATTTTTAGTTGAACTTAATTTTGCACTCGTCCGCCGCCTTTTTCACTTCTCCGACCCCGCAGCTCTCTCCGATAGCTTTGTGTTAGTGGCACCAGTCCAGGTGTTTCCAGGTTTTACTCGTGCTATTTCTCGATGTTGAGAGTTTGGTGTCGCACAAATTGCATCTGACTATGCATTCTTATCCTTTTCTCCCATGAACTGATAATAACAGGAGTGTGTCCATCTCACAAATGTAGAATCCATCTCTGCAGTCATCTCAACCATCTAATTCCAGCAACAGGAAATAGACAAACTATTTTACCCGCGGAATTTTTTCTCTGGTGCTGTTTTGCGGTGTTGGTAAATTCACCACTTAATTGAAACTAAAATATAAAGACAGAGCAGAACTGTTAGTCTCTGAGCAACACACAGCGGCTTTTCATTTCTTAAAGTCCCCCTGTGGTGAAAATCAAGTTTTTTTTTGCTTTTGAAGCACACAATCTTGTCCATGTTTCATCTGTCTAATTTCACTAGATTCTACTGTGCAGTGTTGGGGGTAATGCATTAAAGTTTACATTTACAAGAAAATATCTAAAAATAACTTTTTTTAAATAATTAACACAAGGCACATCCTTACGAAAATTAACCTTGGTTTTATTATTGTAGTAGGGAAAAAAAAATTTTTTTTTTTTTTTTTTTGTTGTTTTTTTTTTGTTGTTTATTTGTCTGTGGTGTTTTTAATATGCGTTTAGACAAACCATGTGCCAATCTATTTATCAACACCATTGCGGAGTATTTTCTCCTTTAAACTGTAGTTTCCCCAAAGGCAGTCACAGAAATGCGGTTTGAAACAGCCTTTTTTTGCTACGTCACAATTCAATAACCAATCGCGTCAAGGGATCCTATCCTTGGCATATCATTAACTGTGCTGCAAAGCAGAGGGTCTAGTGCAGGGGTGGGCAAACTTGGCCCTTCCAGGTCA